TTTGTCTAATGGGGCAGAGGACAAACATTTCTGTTTAGATGTGTTTTAGTTTTTTGCTTTTCATTTTGTGTTTTCCAAAACAAAAACAACGAGATGTTACACATGCAACCAAACAAGACAATTTAGTAGTGACCTGCATGCCCTAAATCTGGTTCGAAAGGGTCACAACTAAGGATTGGACTATAGTGGATCACAAGCTTTTTGATTTTTAGATTCCCTTTAATTGGTCCAATGATGTTAAGGTTCATCTACTTGTCTGGAGCTTATGGACATCATGCCCACAATCATGTGAAAAGCACCTAAAACATTGTATAAGTTACCAAACTAATAACACCATTATCAAGATCTTCACAAGTGATCATATGGTTGTTTTGGTGTATGTTATATGCATGGTACGTAGAATCATACAATTCCCAATTTGATTCATACCATTCGACATGAGTTGCAACAAAAATGATTCGTTACGATTGACTAAAATTTAGTTCTACTTTTATTTTTATAAGTGCTTTCTCAGTATCATCTTTTTATCAGGCTCTGTATGGTGATTGGGGGTGGGGAAGAGTTCCCTTGGCATTAGATTTGGGTTACCAGAGTTCCATCCAAAGTGGCTTTCTTTGTATGGATGGTGGCTTATGGCCAGATTCTTTTTATTGATAATTTGGTTCGTCGTGTTCATATCTTGGTTAATTAGTGTTATATGTATATATTGTAGTGATGTGGAATTTGTGGATTACACTGCCAAATGGCGTCTCGTTTGTGAGCACCTCTTTATTTTATTTATTTATTTTTTTTTTTTTTCTACTTTTGGTGTTTTGTGGGTGCAGCAAAAGGGGTGATAGAGGTTCTCTAGAGTTGGGGAGGGGATTGGGTTGGGAAGAGGCGTTGGAAGGCTTGGGCTTTGGCCACTGGCCCCTTTGTGCTTATGGTGGTTGCTTTGAGAGAAATCGTCATATTTTCTAGGGTGTTACTCGGTCCATGTCTTGGCTAGAAAATCATTTTCTTCATGTTTTGTGTGGTTGGGTTTATAGGCGAGTAGTCCTAGATTTGTTTTCTTTTTAAGATTTTTTAGATGATATGATTGGTTAGGTACTTGCCTTTTTTTGGGGAGGTTTTCAGTTTTGTATTCTTTAATTTCTTAATGCTTTTGGTTTGGTAAATCTATTATTTATCCAAAAAAAAAAAAAAAACTATATATTATATTAAATAAAATGAATCTTACGATTCACGATTTACTATTTTAGCAAAATGATTCATATTTTAATTCGCGATTTGACAATAATGGTCATATGGGCTCAAGTATATGTCTCAAAGTGTGGGTGGCTATGTGTTTAAGTGTCGGATTCATTTAATCCACATCCAAAAACACAGGGATACACAATATTCATGTTTAATATACTTATTTTGTCTGAGTAAAATGATTTTTACAAGGTGCCATATAGAATTTCATGCATAATATTGGGAATTTTAAGCATAATTTTATGGTTAATTAGCGTTACTAGATATGCTTGTTAGATGAATCTCCTGCTACACTTGTCAATACATTTTCCACACCCTAGCTCAAGTTTCAAGTATCAAATATGAGTACGTCATATATGTAGAAGAGTTCACATGACGTAAGTGTTGGTTAGATAAGAATAAGAGTATCGGGCTGAGTTGAGCTAAGCTGAGGTGGCCAATGAAAATGGTGCCCAAGCTCGCCCGCAAGCTAAACCTAGTGGGACAAACTAGGCTGAGGGCCAAAACCTTAGGCCTAAGCACTATCCAAAGAGTTTGGCCTAGGCAAGCAGGCTGGGCTCCTAGGTAGGTTAACAGGTCAACGAATTGGCCTGCAATCTTAACCCAACGAGCTGAGATTATTTTGAGTTTTAAAAATAATTTTCATATTTTTTCATACTTCCAATTAAACTCGTGTGGCAGGACAAAGGACAAGTGATGGACCACCATTTATGATCTGGACTTCAAACCCTAACCCCAAACCCAACTTGAACTACGCCTACTTACCTACCCAAGGTGCGAGTATGGGCTTGGGTCAAGTAAACTTGGGTCAACCATGAGCCTTTGAACCACACGACAACTTTATGAGAGAGATATTTTTAGTAGGACCCATAAAAAATCCAATGGTGCAGCATATGTTTTTTTTTCCAACAACCATCATGATGACAGATCTACCACCACAAGGCTTATCAAGATGGGTAACCCAAAATTTGTGGCATAAAGCAATGGAAAGTGGGATACATATATCCCCATCAAAGTTATATCAAAGATGGTAGTGCTCAACAAATTGTTCCCCTCTCTTGGCATCTTTTCTTCAATTTAGAAAGACAACACCAAGGGGTCAAGATTCCATGTCCATTCTTCTACTCATTTTCTTGACAGCTAAGCCCCATTTGCTCCACCATTTCATTGACCCTTTTCTGCCCTATTCATTTATCTCCACTTCTAACCTAATATATATTTATTGATATAAAAAATAAAAAAAAAATCCAACAGTTTCTATTGAATGAGGAAATAACCTAATATTTGTTATTAGGGAAAATTACAAACACCCCCCTTAAAGTTTGGTGAAAATACACATTTCCCCCTGAGGTTTGAGAAATTACAAATTGCCCTCCGATGATCAAATTTTCATAACAAATTAGGAAAATTTTGGGGGGAAATCTGTATGAAAATAAAAATCTCAGGAGGTAATTTGTTATGAAAATATAAACCTCAAGGGGCGGAATGTAATTTCTCAAACCTCAGGAGAGAATTTGTATTTTCACCAATTCTCGAGGGAGGTATTTGTAATTTGCCCTTGTTATTATTTATCGTAATCAATCCGTGCTATGCACGTAATGAAATGAAAAAAATTGAATATAATTTTACTAAAAATAATTTTCTTAAATTTGAACTCATAATTTCAAAATTAGTAAGCTAAATTTTCAACAAAAATCAATGATTCCCTATAAAATAAATTTATAATATACATAAATATGACTTTTTTTTTTAGATGATGCTCCAAAAATGTGTAGTACACATTTAACAAAGTAGGTTAATTATACTTTTCACTCTCTTACACTTTGACTTAAATTTCACTTTAATCCCTATAATTTTAAATTGAACAATTTAATCCCTACATTTTAAATTTAGTTTCAGTTTGATTCTTCTGTTTTAGCCCTAGGCTTTTTGGCTAAAATAACCATAGAAAAACAAAATAAATTTTTTAGTCTAATAAGACAAAACATCACATCCAACTTATAATCATTACAATTTTTCTTTCACAAAAAGTCAAAAAGTTCATCCCAAACCAGACTTTTTAGCCTCATGCTAAAATAGCCAAAAAGTCAATTTTCTTCCCAAGCGAACCCAAAGTCAACAATTTTGTTTGGGGTGTACTAATGAGTACACACTTTTTATCTTTTTATCTTTTTTTCATCACATCACCTCTCTACTTTTCTGCACATCTTTTCGTAAAAAGTCAAAAAGTACACTTATTTAGATCATTCCAAACCATGTTAGTCTCTTAGACCCTGTTTGTTTTCAGAGATAAAATAGAGAGAATTGATAGTGAGGGGATTGATAATAAGGAGATTGTTAATGAAAGGATTGATAGTGAGGGAATTAATAGTGAGAGAATTGTTAGTGAGGGGATTGATAGTGAGAAATTATTAAATTATTTTTATATAAAATAATAAAACAAATAAAAAAATATAAAAATTAAACATTAATATTTTTAAAAAAAATTCTCAATATATAAAAAATAAAAAAAATAAAAAAATTTCTAATCCTCTCACTATTTTTCTAATACCATCTCTACCTCCTCACTATGAATCCCCCTTCCAAGGGTATTAGTAATTCCAAAGTATTATTAGTCCCAAGGCCATCTCTCAAAACAAACAAGGTATTAGTAGTCTCAATCCCCTTCCTATAATCCCAAACAAACGGGGCTTTAAGGTATACGCTTAAAAAATAAAATAAAATAACAACAAAAATTTAGATTAAATGATAAAATTAAAACTAGATTTAAAATGCAAGAATCAAATTATTTAATATAAAAATATAAAGCCTAAAATAAAATTTAGATCAAAGCACATTGTTAAAAGTGTAATTAACCTAACAAAGTATTAAATAATTATATATTCTCATTCATCTTATTCCAGTGCACACCCATTTTAAACTATGTGTTGTTACCCAATTGTAAGACCTAGGTCTCATTTGGAAACTTGGTATTTTAGTTAGCATTTTAATTTTGAGACTATTTTATGCGAGAAAAAAAATTATCTTTGAGATGATTTGTGATTTTTTTAATAATTGAATATAGATTATTGTTAGAGAAAAAAATTATCAATTAATGTATAAGATATGATATTTTATTTTATTAGTTATTTTAATATATATTTTTTTACCTAAGACAAAGGGCCATAGTGGATAAAAGTATTATGTTAATTTGAATCAAAACATACTAAGAAGATCTTATTTACATATTTAGGCCTAGTTTGAGAAGACTAAATAAGTGTACTTTTTGACTTTTTATGAAATATGAGTTGGGTTGGGTTTGGGTTAGGTTTGAAGTGATGTGTTAGAGAGGTGATATGACTTAAATAAGATAGTGACTTTTTGACTTTTTATCTTTTTTCAATCATGCCAAACTTGGCCTAATGGAGAGGTTCACTATATCATTTAGTTATATTTCATGCTCATTAAATATGTAATGAAAAACATCCTTATAAACAAAGAATGAAGCGGATCAAAATCCTAACTTCAACATTTCATGTGTCGATCGATTCATTTTAAGAGGAAGGGGGAAAAGAAATGAATTTCCTTTTCGTCAACATAATACAACTCAATAATTGAAGTCAAAAGTCCAAGAAATATATAAAATAATAATTATTATTATTATTATTATAAAAATAAATAAAAGAAGGAGAGAGAGAGAGAGAATCAAGACATACAAGTGAAAGTTGTCCCTCTCTCATTTTTCTCTCTTTCTCCAAATTGTCCATTACAAATACACAACAACATTTGCCACATTAATTCCAATTTATATAATTATCTATATATAAAAATTTAACCACCAAAAAAAAAAAAAATACAATAATAGAAACGTGCTCAAGAACATGAAGAAGAACCTGAGAACCGGGGCGAAGTAACCGGAAACAGAGGAAGGAGTCGGGGCTCCGACTCTCTCGGAGTATTCGCCGGCGACGGGTGCAAATAGAAACCCTTTTGGGCTATTGCTTCGCTCTCAGCCTCCATATCCAAGCTTCCAACACTCGTGGGTGTACTGTGTTGAGACCTGTTAAACGGGTCGGGTATGAGAGGAGTGACCGGGCTGAGAACCAGAGATGGGAAGTCAAGTATACTCGGCGACAAAATCTCTGGCAAAGCGGGTTGTCGGGGCGAGGACCCGGAAGTGTGGGCGAGTCCGGGTACCAAAGGGCTGATTTTGAAGTTCCTCAGGCTGTTTCGTCGCTCGTAGAGCTTTGAAGAAGAGGGTTGTTTCTTGGGTCCGGATTTGATGGGTGGGATCGGGTTTCTTGGTGGGTCGGGTCGGGCGGCGTGTTTGGCGGTGTCGGATGATCCGGTGAGGAGTTGAACTACTTGTTTGAAGCAGGAGGTGTCGGCTTGGACGAAGGTGGTCGGGTACGGGTTGTTGGGTTCGGATTTGGTGATGGGTTTGGGTGGTGGTTGGTGGCTGAGGCCATTGCTGCTGCTGCTACTGCTTGTACTGTTGGTGCTATGGCTGTTTGGAGATGGGTTTTGATTTTCTTGGAATTTTGATGGGTATTCCATTGATGGTCTGATTTTGAAGAGAGAAAAAAGGGTTAAAGGGGAAGAAAGAGTGAGAGGGAGAGAGAGAATGGGGGTGTTTGGAACAAACCTTGATGAGAGATTAGATGAGATGGTAATTTGAAGATGGGTTTGGATTTTCTTGGAATTTTGATGAGTTTTCCATTGATGGGTCTGTTTTTGAAGAGAGAAAGAGGGTTAAAGAAGAGAAAAATGGAAGAAAGACTAGAGAGGGAGAGAGAATGGGGAGTGTTTGGAACAAACTTTGATGAGAAATTTAGATGAGATGACGAGAATCTGAGCATTTTGCAACTCCTTTGTTACTTTCCTTGGTTTGGTAAAGATGTTTTGGGGAGGATTTTGGGCCTTTTGTGGTAATCTTCACACGCTTAAAAGAGATTGTTTCCCACGTGCCTTTGTTTGATTTGTTGGTGGTGTGGCTCATATGGGCTACAAACAAATCCAGTTTTAGTATATATAGATTTCGTTTGGCAAGTAATTTTTTTAGTAAAAAAATTAAAAAGTTATTAAAAAATTAAAAAGTTAATAATTTATATTAAAATATTAAAAAAAAATTCTCTTTATTTTTTATATATTTTTTTGTAAAAAATTAAAAAGTCATTTCAAATATACTAGTTTTTTTTTAGGGTCCAGCTTGTCTCAAGTTGATATCAAGATTGGACCCGTCCAGTTTGGCCCATGGGGCCCATTTTTTCGTCTATTTTGATCATCCGAACCATACAATGTGTAGAACTCGTCGAGTACTACATGCCTGTAAAAAATCACGTTGATCGGATATCAATAGCTATGTGATCAACTCAATTTCGTATAAAAAAATGGACGGTAAAACAATTAACGGTTGATAAAAACTGTTTTGTTTACATAGCTATCGATATCCGATCAACGTGATTTTTTACAGGCATATAGTACTCGACGAGTTATACATATTGAACGGTTCGGATTATCAAAACGGAACCCGTGGTGGACCCCCACAGGCCCAACAGCACGGTCCAGTCCGATCTTGGACTGGACCAAAGCCACTGCCTTTTTTTTACATCACATTTTAGCCAAAAAATTAAAAAGTTATTAAAAAAGTCTATTCCCAAACGAGACCTTAGTTGGAAAAATGTTAGGCATTATAAAAAATGTTTTATGAAAATGATCATAAACGAATTTTCATCCTTATATTACATTTTGTAACTTAGGGGTTGTTTGGGGTGTCCTAAATAAGTGTACTTTTTGTCTTTTTGAACTAAAAAATTAAGGAAGAAAATATGGATGTTTAGGTTAATTTTTTGACTTTTTATGGAAAAATGTATAATAAAAAATTGTAAAAATTGATTTGTAAGGAAAAATTATGATTGGAAGTTGTACAGCCGTAATTGTTGACTTTTGGTGAATAGTGTTAACTTTTTAACTTTTTAGGTAACTTTTTGACTTTTTGACTTTTTTGCAATATGCCAAACTTGGCCTTATTATGGGTTGGTTTGGGAAGTGGGTTGGCTTTTTGACTTTTTGACTTTTTTTGGCTATTTTAGCCTGGGCTAAAAAGCTTGGTTTTGGAAGGACTTTTTGACTTTTTTTGTGAAAGAAAAGTGTAATAATTATAGGTTGGATGTGATGTTTTGTTAGGCTATTTTAGCCACATACCATCTTGCCAAACAAACCCATATATATCTAATTTAAGAGTAAAAAATCTGTCATGATCATTTTCATAAAATATTTTTTATGATACCTAGCATTGTTTAGTGAGTTGGAACTCGATCTCGAATTTAATAAAAATTTAATGAATCGACCTCGAGTCAAGTTGGCTTAAACTTTATTCGAGCTCGAGTCTGTTCATGAATTTTAACAAGCAAAAAAAATTGTAAATTCATATGTACGTATGAGATTAAAATTATAATTAAAATTTTAATTATATAATTATATATACAATATATATAAACATGCTAAAAAAATAATATTTTATTAAAATAATAATATTTACTACAATTATTATATAAATAATTACATTTATATTTTTTATACATATTTTTATATCATTTAATATATAAATAATAAATATTAAATGAGTTAACTAACGAGTTAAGTTTACGAATTAAATTTTAATATGTTTAGATTTATTTATTAAAAATTTAACGAATTTAGACTCGAACGTAAAAATAAATAACAAAAAAAAAAATTTCAAGTTCAAACGAAATTTTACCAAGCCAAGCACAAACATATTTACAAATGATTTTATTTACAAAACTGATACAAACCTTCACTTGGGGACCCTGCCACCTTCACATACACGTGGTATCAAAAAGAGTCAAAGTGAGGAGAAAAAAAGTATATATATATTTGAACCAATCAACCTTCTCTGGCTGGTGGAGTCTCAGTCATTTTTTTTTTATTTATATGCAGCCTACACTCATTTGGAAAGACAGTGAATGCACCCAATGATAAAGAGAGTGGTAATCGAGGTAGAGAAAAAGTCCAAGTGGCAAGAGGGCATTGGTGGTTTTTGGAATTTCACACCATGGGGTGTGGGGTTGTGAGCATGATTATCAGAATCTCGATTTGGATCTTACGATTTTACGATCTTACGATCCATTTAAATACAATCGATCCGAATCGTGTAAAAATCTCCTTATAGGTAGGATCTTTCGATCCTGATAGTGGGATCTTATAGGATCATGAAATCTCGATCCGAATCCGATCATATCCGATCCAATTTACAAGCCTTATTTTGTATTGTATGACACTTTATTGTAAATTTTATATTTATTGTCTAAATACCAATTTACATGGTCAAAATAAATGATAAAAATTAAGTCGTATTGAATCAAATAGACTAAGAAAAATAAACTAGGAAACAAACATTCAAATATTGCGGTAATTTAAGAAAATTAAATAGTCGGAAAAACAAACTTATCTTTAGCGGAGTTTGACGAGGGTAAGATGATTGCAACTTTATTCCAGTTGAATCTGCTCCACCAGGGATGCTAACGACAAATCTTATCATTCGGTTAAGCTACTCTTTTGAGTTCTTAATCTATTTTCATATCCAACTTTATTAAATATTTTTTCTTCGTTTTTTATGCATTATTGTAGATTGTGAATTATTTTGTTATAGAATTCTTCTTCTTCTTCACCTTCTTTTTTGATAAAATACAAAACTTTTACCATCGAGTTTTCTATTGTATATTATTATATGTACATTTTACATAGAGTATTATATTTTTCACAATATTTTCACTTCTTTTTAATAAAATATAGGCTCATTTTGTGTATACTTTATAATAAAATTTATTTAAATTAAATTATTATGTAATTTGTCTTTTTTGGTAGGATCTTACGATCTTCGATCCGATTCTACGATCCGATCCTATAAACACCTCCAACGATCCAATGTAGGATCTCGATTTTAACAACCTTGATTGTGAGAGAGATAAGAAGTTGTGAAACAAGTTTCAATATTTGCCATTGACTTGCAAGAGGCGCCTGAAAGCTAAGTACAAGAAGAATTTTATTTTTACACATTTATTTATTTTTGTGTATATATTTAATAAAATTTTATTTTAATAATAATTATATTTTAAAGTAAAATTATTACAATAGATATCAAAATACACCCACAATATTATATTAAAATTCTCTATATATATCTTTTTAAAACAAAAAAAAAATCTCAATGTACTAAGAACTTCAAAGAATTTAACTTTAGGATTTCAAAATCAAACATTTTGATAAATTTGTGGCCTAGCTTAGTTTAGTCATGTATGTTATAATGTTATTGTTTTGCAAGCACAACCTCTCTTCAAAGATAAAAGGATGTTTAGGTCCCGTTTGTTTCCAGAGATAGAATGGAGGGGATTGATAGTGAGGGGATTGTTAGTGAGGGGATTGATAGTAAAGGGATTAGTAGTGAGGGGATTGATAGTGAGGGGATTATTAAATTATTTTTATATAAAATAATAAAACAAATAAAAAAATATAAAAAATTAAAAATTATATTTTAAAAAAAAATTTCCTATATATAAAAAATAAAAAAAAATAAAAAAATTTCTAATCCCCTCACTATTTTTTTAATATCATCTCTACCTCCTCCTTACCAATCCCCTCTCCAAGGGTATTCGTAATACCAAGGGACTAATAGTCCCAAGGCCTTCTCCCAAAACAAACAAGGCTATTACTAATACATTGGTATTAGCAATCTCAATACCCTCTCTTTCACCCAAAACAAACGGAGCCTTACATTAATGGCCAATCCAAAGCTAGAAGGCAACTACCCTACAAAGGGGTTGTACCAGACTCTTGCAATAGTGGCAGTGTGTCTACAAGAGAAAGCTAGTACTTAGCCTTTGATCAGTGATGTTGTAACTACTCTTGACTTCTTATCAATAGGAAAGACAGTAGAGGCAGATGACGAACGAACAGAAGAGAAGATGAAACCAGTGCCATCTGGTAAAAACATAGTTCTAGAAATCGAAAAAGACACGCAAAGTGGTGCTTGGGAAAGAGACTGATGAGAAAGTGCTAAAGAAGTTTTATCAACTGTGATTGCGACCCCAAACGCCTTGCTGTTTTAACTCTCTCTCTCTCTCTCACTTTGTCTCTTTTTCTTAGTTAGTTTTTTGTTGAGATCTTATGGATTCTTGTGGATTCAAAGATCCGAATTTTGAAGAAAGAATGGATGATGATTAGGGGAGCTTTTTGGTGCAGTACGAGATATATGTAGGAATGGCAATTTGAAACTGACCCGACGGGGATTCCCGACCCCGTTCTCGATTTTAGCGGGTTTTCTCCGAAAAATACCCTCGACGGGGAGAAGATGGTATTTGAAAATCAATCCCCGATTTGTTCAGGGCCGGGGACGGTAATCAGTGTTCAAGCCTCGGCCCGGCCCTAGACCCATCCCCGAATTTTTTCGAAATAAAATTACTTTTATACCCCTTATATATATATATATATATAAAAAAAAAATAACCCGTGCATTGTAATTTTATACCCCTTGTATATATATAAATATATATAACCCATGCACTGTCTCTCACTCTCTCGTTCGTTCCATTCCCACTCTCTCAACTCTCGTTCTTCTCTCTCTCTCAACGACTGAGAGAGAAGACGTCGCCTCTCGTTCTTCTCTCTCTCTCTCACAGCCACCGTCGATCTCGTCAGACACCGTCGATCTCATTCTCACTCTCACAGTCGCCTCTCGTTCTTCTCGTTCTTCTCTCCCTCGATCTCGCCACAGCCACCGTCGGCGTCGATCAGATCTGTACTCAAATCTGTTTGTTATCTCTCTCTCTCTCTCTGTGATCTGATCTTGTTGGTGATGATGAAAACATTTTTTTTTTCAGATTACTTTTTTTAATTTA